GCCATTTTTTTTACCCGGCAGCCATTTTGAAACTGCCAATCAGCAGTGCGAAAATCATCGCTTTGCGATGATCGGTTACCAAAACAGGGGACCGATCATCGCAAAGTGAAATTCCCCCATAGGAAACATCATTTTGCGATTGCTTTGGCGATCGCAAAAACTTTGACGTAAAGCAATTTCTTCGTCAAACGGAGTGCTCGTAATGAGAGGCACCACTGTAATTCTATGCTAGTTAGGGGATTCTGGGAGTTACAGACAAAAAAATTACTCTCCCAAGTTCTGTTCTAAGTATTTGACATCACCATTTGGAAATCGCTGGAAAGCTGTGGGACGGAGGAGTTTATGATTCTGGAGAGGTTGCTAGACTACAATTCCTGTAATTCCTCAATATAGACTATGCAGGACAGAGCTGATGGGAGTTGCATCCCAACAACATTTAGAGGTCCATATATTCTTTTTTTGTGGGTTTTTTTTTTTTGCCTCAGCTACTTTTGTGAGCTTTAAAGTAATTTCCTAGTATAGGAGATGGAGAGAGGGCAAAAATGGTTGCCAACCAACCTGAAAAGTACTGACCCCATCTCACTTTTTATTCATTTGTAGAAAAGCGATACAGGCTGGTTCTTCCTATCCTGCTCACTGACCCCTCCCCACTACCACATGTGTGACAATTGGTGAGTATAGACTCTGCACCCAGCCATGCCCTCAACCAACTGGGCTCTATTTCCCCTCTCTATTATCGAGCAGTTGTTTCCACAACAGGTCCCATCTAGATTTTTTATTTCAATTGTTGGCAACCCTGATAGCTGATCTGTCTTTAAGGGGGGGAGAGAATGTTCTTGGAACCCCTCCCCTCTTCTGCATTGCCAGTCCTGCATACGTTAATACACAAGCAATTTTTCAGTCGTGCTTGGTTGCAGACATGCGTGGGCACAAACTAGGGGAGATACACCCTTCAGCATGGAACAGTTAAGGAAAGAGAATGCTCTTAATAAGCACATATGAGCTTCAAGGAAGGAGTCACTGTTTTTTGTTTTTTTTTGAAAAGAGAGAGAGAAAGTAAGAAACAGAGATATCTACTTTCAAACAAATGCTTGTTTCCATGCTCTGACCCACCCACTCACCCCCATATCTTCTCAAACAGGACTGATGGAAAATTTTCTAACTGTAGAAAATTTTACAGAAGCTATACAATCAGGCTAGTACGCTGCCATTTAAATAATGGTAATTACACAGTCCCTCATCTTTGCCTAACACTGTAATCAGACTATGGCATCATTGCAATCACAATTAAAACAATTGGTGTAAAAAAAAAAAGATCTCATATATCCCATATGGCTTTGAACTGCATATATGTTGTTTCGTTTTTCATTTATTAACAATAAATACAATACCTTCTTTGTTCACAGTTGATTCTCGCATCAGTATTTACATGTATGTGTTCAGCAAACCTCCTTATCATTTAATTAATTAATTAATTAATCTAATACTTACAGCTCTTCAAGGAAAGGGAAATTTTTGAAAGCATCCTCTGGTAGCCTTGTTATGTTGTTCATGCTGATATCCCTAAAATGTGTGTGAGAAAAGACATAGTTATATGAGCAGAATGGTGATCAAGTGAACTTATTATTGTGTCTAGAGGACAAACCTGAGGAAGCTATCTGCTATGACAGTGAAAAGAATCCACAGCAAATAAATACATAAATAAACCTATGTTTAAATAATGTATATTTTAACACAACAGCCCAAAAAGCAGGCTGAAGAGGAAAAAAAAACATACTGCACAGAATTTTTCCCACAGAATTTTTAAATCTATGCTAAGAGCTGTACCTGCAGTAAGCATCACTGGTGGAGCAGGTAAGCCCTACAATGATATATAATTCATTAAGTGTGAACTTGTCCTCAAGAATGCCAGTCTGTGTGCATGCAAACTCACTCCTCTCAAGCACAAAAGGATAGTATTAGAAGGCTTTGGGGGGGAAAAAACAAGGTTTTCACAATAAACAAACAAGCAAACAGTAACTTTGGTGGTGGTGATACAAGGAGAAGAAAGCAATTCCACTAATGACTGAGCATATACAGTGGACATGACATCCTGACTGGCCATTGGGGGTTGGAGGTGGCAGGGAAGGGAATGAAACAAGAGTATTTGGGAGATGAGCCTAGCTAACTAGAACCCTGCACAGGAGAACTTCAGACTGCAAAATTGTACTCCCAAGTTTTACTTCAATGTATTATTTCTTTCATCTTCAAAAAAACAAACAAACAAAAAAAAACTTGCCAATATACAACCCTCGAATATAAAAACCACCTGGCTTCCCATCATTCTCTGGTATGCTTTGTGTAAGAAAATGTGAAGCACAATTTTAAATATAATAATAATAGTAATAAGGAAGCTATTAATAGAAATAATAAAGGTGGGAAGTTGGCTATAACACAGAGAACTTGGAGCCCAAACAACATGGAGCAATCCAACCTATCTGTTGCATAGATTGCTTTCCTGCATCATCCTGACAAGAGAAGATGTTTTTACCACAAATCAGATGCAAGGTAAAACGTGTGGCTAACCTATTTCTTCATATCTCAACTGTATAATTTTGTTTTCTCTCAGCCACAGTTTCCAAGGCGGTTGTCTGCAAAAGATTCTCTATAACTTCACAGAGCTACAGCCCCTTCCTTGTGTTTTCTTGGATAGTCATGACAATAAATGTGCTTGCATGAACTCTGCACCTTCTGCTAAAGTTACTCTTGTACAACTACCACTAGTACTTTTTGAAAGAGAAAGAGACAGACCACCCAGCATTCACACGTTTCCCCCCCCCACCCTCCGGCAGGAAAAGTATATAAATGAATGCATGCAGACCTGATAAAATAAAACCCCTGAGGCAAGTGAGGCTTCTGGGAGAGCTGACAAGAATAGCAAGAACATGCCTCAGCTCTACCACAGCTGTACATTTCTGCAAAATGTCTTTAAAAAGTCCTCAAGGTAATCGTTTTAAGCAGATTTCAATTTTAGTCCATGAACAAACGTAGGCAAGTGCTCACATGATAGGCATGCGGAGCAATTTGTTTGTTTCCTTTTCCAGCCTGAAGAACTTTGCTGAGTATTTTTCCTGATGGGGAACCATTACTAATTTTACCAGAAGTCTCTTTAAGGAGGGAGGACAACAGGAACAGGCTAGTGACCCAGAGCATTACAAAAATATTTAGTTGTGGGAGTGCCTCTAAAACAAAAACAAACTTCACAACTTTGTTTTAATGTCTTTTTTTAAGACCATGAGAAATCTGCAGAAGTAAACTTCAGTTTAATTCTAATTCTTGTTATTACTTATAGTCATCACTATTTACTTCGAAGAAAACGATTCATTTGGCTAGCCTGCGCTAAAAAGACATTTATTTTGTGACTACTGTAAGATCAAGATTACAAAAGCTTCCGAAGTTTCAGTAGCATTTATTCAGTAACAAATGGAAGATATTTCACCAAAGATTACAAATAAGGTCTGAACAGTAAGCCATTAAGCATCCAGAGACAGCTTCCATGCTAATGTTGACATAACAGCCAGCTAAGGAGTTTACAGGGTTTGCAAAGTGAATTGTTCTAGCTAATTTTGCCTAAGACTAGGCAAACACCAGCATGCTAAGTGGAAGAACGACAAGGGTAGGAAGAGGAAGAGCCCATTTTCATCACTAGATGAAAAATATCAGACATGTGAAATGCAGACTGATTCAACATAAACCATAACTCAGTTCCTTCCTCCATTTTCCACATTTCTCTATCTGCTGTAAACATACAATTTAATCCACCCAGGCCATCTTTTTTCCTCAAGCAGATGGTTCTATAAGTGCTTGAAATGTCGAAATACATATGCATTTATTCAACAAGGCAAAAGAAAATACAGAGGTCCATTATGAATCACAAAAAATAGTCTATGTGTGAAACTCACATTTGACAGTTTTCTGTCGGGTTTTTCACAGAAACAAAATTGCTGGAAACACCTTTTTTAAAAAAATCTTTACAACAAAACTGTCCTGTATAGAACTTAAAAGAGCATATTTAAATCACCCATAATACTTTGTATCTAACTTTCACATCTAATTTTTATGTGTTTTAAGAGAAACAGCTCTTTCACACTAAAAGTATATAAATGTTTGAGAAAGCCCTGCAAAACGTTTTATTTGTCAGGGAACATGGCAGAGCCCATAGGCCAGCCAAATTTACCTACACACTGAAAAGCTATTATACTCATATATCAATTTAAGTTGCATGGTTGATAGGTCAACTTCATCTGGTCTGGGAGACAAGGGCCCCTCACCAGGACCTACCAGGGGATGTGCTCACCCCCAACAAAATTAGGAGACAACACAAAACAAAACAAAATCAGAGAGGAAAGTCAAATCTGAATGTTGTCAGAAGTGGATTTCTGACTTTTGTCAGAGGAAAGTCAAAACTAAATGTTGCCAAAAGTCAATTTCTCTTTTCGCACATGTGGGTTTTCCAGTTGGGAAAGATGAGGTGCCTCCACCTTGTTTTCTGGCACAGTAAAGTAGAAAATGACTTTTGTGGGATCTTTTATTCCACTGGCAGAGCATCTGGGTCTCAGAGGACAACATGCAGCCTTAGGCTGTACTTGGCTCAGTCCTGTAAGAGACATATAGTGTGTGTGTGTGGGGGGGATGGATGGACGTACAGATGAACAATGATTGGCTCTGGAAGTGAACACAAACTATAGCAACAGAGAAATATGATACCTTGGTTACAGCATAGGAAATCCACTGTGCTTAACCCCATTGCTCAGTAGGAACATTTTCACAAGTAGAGAGCTGTACTGGTAAGTGAGGGACTTTTAGACAGCAATGTCTGAAACACATAGGAGTTCATATGTATATGTGGGTGAAGAAAGGAAAATACTGGTAGCAGCTCAAGCATAGGATAAAGTAGGTAACACAGTGTTACAACGGGCTGGGAAAGCAACAGAAAGACTAGTGCAGGATAAGTGCCAGAAATCAAGCCTTCATAGGTCCTCCAGCTTGGAAACTGTGGCTTGGAAACAGAGATCTTGTAAGAGCTTCTATGGTCTCAACATGGGGCAGCTGAAATACCCAGAGGAGTACCTTCATGGATCTCATGTTGACATAAGAACCTCTCTGGTAGGATTTATGACCTGAAAGCATGATTAGGCACTAACAAGTGCAATGTGGTTGACAACTGTCACTGGGCTGTATCCAATGGTGGCACTAGCAAGAAATATTTATAGTCACATTAGGTGAAATGCATTCAGTTTTTGCTGATTCCTCCCATCAACCACAGCTTCCTGGATCTCATGTCATTTTGAAGGGTATTCAACCCCCCCCCCCTCCCGTGGTATCTCTGAGACTCGTGGAAGACTGGAGAGGGAGAGAAGAGAGAGTGCATGGACACTTTTGCTTGTGAAAATTTACTCTTGATCCAAATGTGACATTTGCATTACATGAGCAAATTCTGGTTGCACAATCAGGATTTTTTTAGTGCTTGCACTAGGGGATATGTAATAGCCCCTTGAACAAATAGTACTCTGTTCTTCATTCTATACTTACATGATTACAGTGCAGCATTCATTATTAATTTCATAATGTCTTTTAAATGACACTTATATGGTTTTATGTTTTTAGAGTAGACCACCCAGGTAATCATTGGCAAGGTGAAGCCTCTCTCCACAAGCTGAGACAGCCACTGAGAGACGGGGGGTGGGGGGGGGGGGAGAGAGAGAATGCCAGAAGCTACCAGCCAGATTTGCAGACGTCAGAACAGTCTGCTGCTGTCGTAGTCACTAAACGAAAGATCTTGTTTAAGTTTACCACTAGGTAAACTTTTTGTTCTACTAGTTTATATCAAATCTCAGCCCAGGTGACCCAATTTCCATTAGGGCAAAATCACCACTAGATACAACCCAGTTTCTGCATTTCCAAGGACTGAAGTTTCATTTGAACTATGATCACTCATATCTGTACGGGATAAACCACAAGATTCCAAAGAGATGCTTCTAGCTAACTCCACTCATATTACTTCATAGGTAAAAGAAAACAGTGTTGGCAGTCCCCTGTAAGTGCAGGATACACCATGAATGCTTTAATGATTGCTATGTAAATTTTGTTGTACAGTACCAGGAGAATGCCTGCACTTAAAACTCCCTCTCCTGTTCTTGATGAAGTTACCTAAAATAGAGGTTCTAAAGACTTTTCATTCCTGAGGGACATAAAACACAGCAAGGCTACTAGTGCCTTGGCAGAAAAGCCAAGAAAACATATATAAATGAAAAAAATAAATGAACAGGTTGTATGTGAACATAAAGATCAGATTTTTATATCTGCCTATGATTACCAGGCTTGTCTGCTACAACAACAACAACAACAACAACAACAACAACAACAATAATAATTTAAGAAACATGCAAGTGTTTGTTAAAAGACATCAATGTAGACACCAGGAAAGTCATTCTGTGAAGATTACACCATAAGCAGGGAGACATCATTGAGAATACACCTAAATCTTAAAGGAAAACAGCACTGAAAAGTGTATACACTCTAAT